AATGTGAATGAAGGCATCCGGGCAGTTATCAGCTACAGCCTCGACTAAAGTTTTAACTGTGTCGGCATTAATGTTAAATAGGTCATCACATGTCATTCCTGGCTTCCTTGGAACACCAGCAGGTATGACAACAAGATTTACACCCTTCAAAGAATCTGCCAACTCAGATGTTCCTTTAAAATCAGAAACCTTAGATGATGTATTACAGTGACTGAGATCAGCTGCAACTACTTTGACATTTGCTATATCATAAAGATTCAATTCAGACACTAATGGTGACATCTTAACCAAGGGGCAAGTGGAGCCTATATCACCAGCAGCTCCAAGAATTGCTACGTTATAGGATGCCTGAGGCTGAACATAACTATATGATCTCAGGTTATGTTATTGGGCTTTGGTAGTATAAGAACGCTTAAGAGCTGCACAGGTTTCACTGCTTAAAAATGGACACTCTGATTCGCAGCTCACATAGCTTGTAGCTTTGAGGCCACTGAAACTCCAGGGATAATATTTTGAGTTGAATTTGACACTAAGAGCCTTTGATTGAGAAATTGACCCACTTTGATGCTAGCAGATGTATTAGATCCAATCTAAAAGGTGGTTGCTGCCATCTCGCAACCTAAAATGAAAAATCAAATTTTGACTTCTTTGCAATGTCCAATGAATAAAATTATGTCCCAGTCAAATAGTCATATCATATACAACTAATAGCTGAAGCATGTGAAAACTGCAATATATACCGGAGCACTAGAGACATCCAGTGTACAAGTAGCAAAACTCAACGTATAAATGTGCATTATGGCTTCAAGGACCTACTTCTTAGGTCAAGCACTAGGGAAAAATAGTTAAAATATCCTCTATCGCTCTATACTTAAGAAAACTACAAGCTTAAAACGTACCATATCTAAGTCAAAAACAATCCTCCAACGTGTACACGGTAGTAACCTATGAAGCACCGACACGGATCCATATGTATGACACGATGACACGATACGTCGTCGACATGTTGATTAAATTTTTTAAAATTCTTTATTTATATAATATAAATTTAGTTTTATATTTGTTATTAATTAATCTTGTCGAAATCTATTAAATATGAGTATCTATTTGTTATTTAATAATAACTTTAAGTTAAAAATATATAATATTTTTTATGAAGAAAAAAATGACAATGACATAGTGTCGTGCAAGGACACGCTATCCTAATTGAAGTGTCTGTGCTACAGAGGTAGTAATCATACTAAGCAATGGTAAAAGGGAAAATTAGGCTCCCTACGCTAAAAAGTGAACAAATTAGATTAATACACTTAAACTAATTAAAACCTCTAATGACCGTAATAATTACG